AACTCGTGCTCGTATTGCGTGACTCTTGTTTTCTCTCTCATTTGAGCAATAAAATGTGCTAACTAATGATCTCAACGTGACAAAATATAGTGACGTGAAATATAAAAACTGTCACGTATTTTACATTTTTTTTTCAGATTTTAAAATTTACTTAATTAATTTTTAGAATCTTGTTTTGTTTTGTTTTTGCTTGCAAAATTGATTGAACTAAAACAATTGATTATGATTGCGACAATGAACGCGCACGCTATTAATTCTATGAATAAAATACACAACGAAATTAAACAGTTTACGTAAACAAAGCAGAGATTTGCAAAGAAAATCGCACGGAGTATAAAAATTTGCCAGACATACTAACAAATAATATTCATTGAGGACTGATTGGAGAGCGTTATCTGGAAAATGAACTCGAAAACAAATAATTTCTCAATAAAATGTTGATTAAACCGTGGTTGTGTTAGCCAAATTTAGCGGCGTTATTCAAGAAGATATTTTTATTTCTCATTATTGCTCAAATTGAACTAACGCTGTAAGTAGGATATATTATTTTGATTCCGCAGTTACATATCTCCGCGGCTTGTTCACTGGACGATTAATATCTCCGTCGCGCCAAGGATAGCTGTCGATCTAAATAACTCGTTATAAATGATTTAAGACGGCCCCGCGAAAATCCGCGAATTGACGAGAATCGTTACGTTATATATCGAATTAAAAATCGACATCTGGAAAAAAAAAGATCATCAACTCTCGAAAAACGATAGGTTATTTTTGAGACGGAAAATATTTTTTACGAGAAAAAGGGAATCTGAATTTTTAAGGAAACGGGAGCTATCACTTTTTCAATTTGACAGCCGTAAAAATAGACAAAACACATCGTCAGAAATATACGCAGCGATATATGATTGATAAATTTTCACGTATCTCCACTCCTCCTTTTCTCATTTTCGACGATCATGTCGTCCAAGTTCCGAAATAGTTTTCTTCCCGACGAAAATCCTGGTTTCTGACATTTTTTAATTTCCATTAAGTTCGGTAAAGTCTATTTGTAATTAAATAAGATTTTCCCGTCGTCTGATTTTTTGTCGCTTTTAATTCAAAGTCTCAAAAATTATATATAATCTGCTTTTGTCTGAAAAAATTATGACGCGAAATCTTGCTTATTCTTTTTCTTTCCCTCCGACGCATTCTATTGAAACATTGTCGAGAGTGCGGCAGGACAGGTGGCGGGATTACCGCCCCGGAACCGTATTAGAAGCGACTCGATGCATTAGTGATAACGGTTATCTATTCCGAACGTCAGTGGCGACCGAAAATAGCGGTAACCGAAGAAGACGGAGAAAGACCGTGGAAGCGAGAGAGAGAAAGAGAGAGAGAGAGAGAGACTAGAGTATGCGGGAAGAAGGGACGATCGTGTCGAGAGAGGATGCGACGAGAGGAGGAGGGCATGTCGGGGCGGCGGCGAGCTCTCGTCGAGGTGCGAGAAAGGAAGCGTCGTTTCCGCATCGCGATTCCGCCCCGTCATTGGCTCCGATTCCGTGCTAACGTTAAACGCGCGCGAGAGTCCCCGATATTACTCTCGGTGGCGACAGAGGGATCGAGCGAGAGGAGCGATTTTAGGGGATGGCCGTTTCGCTCAGCCCTTGCCGTCGCCCCCATCGTCCTCTCATCGATAATATACGATCGTGCATGATTCTGCTTCGTGTATCACAATGGCCCTCCGGGCAAGCCCGTTCCACTCCTATCTACGTACCTGGCGCGCCGAACTACCGGCGCCCGGAGTCCGCGGTGGATAATGAGTGATTAGGTAATTAGTTGTCCAATATTCGACCCATCCGCCCCCGTTCCTTCCACTCCTCCTGCCGCTCGCACGCTTCGTCTATCCGAGCGATCTTCCCGGCGTTCGCCAGCTCCGCCGCGTGGTCTCCTGCTACCGCTTGACCGGATGCTTTGACCGGACGGCACAAATATACGCGAACGATCGTATATCTAAAGTATCGCTCATCGAGAAATGTCATTGATTTTGTCAACAAAAACAAAAATAAAATAAAAGTTTTCGCGCAAACTTTCAACAACGTGTGAACAACAACGTGTTCGACTTATTGAAAATTATTACTTTACGAAAAGTTAAAATTCTTATATAAAAATTTGTGTCTTTATTTAAGAGAATATAATATAATATATTTCTATTTAAGCGTGTTTGTGAATTCTCGTGGGACGCGAACAGCTTTTACAGCGAGTATCGATCTACATGAGAAAAAGAGGAGAAGGGTGAAAAGAAGGGTATTACGTCCAGCTCGGTGCCTATGTCCAAAAACAAGCGGGTTTCTCCAACGCGCGGTGTGCCGAAGAACCGTCATGTGTGCGACGGGCGCCGCGAGAGAGACCACCTCTTATAAATATAACAATTAAAAAGAGGGTTCGAGTGCCGAAACGTTTCGCTTTCAGGGGGGTGGACACCCTTTCAGTATGTAGAACGCAAAACAGAAGGGCCGCAGCAGTTCCGATTGTCCCTACGGGTTTCTTTCCTTCGGCGAAAACGTCAAAAAATAACGTAAAAATAATGAATCAAATTTTTGATCGTTCGCGTTCACGAAATTTCACCAGGTTTTTTTACGACCTTTACCATTACAGTGGAAACGTTCATAAATGTGTGAATCTCGCATGCGGCAATTTCCATAATATCAGTTCCGTTAATTGAAATTGGCTAATTCTATCGGAACATTCTAGTTTTGCCTAATTCTAACTTTAACTAATGTTTATTCGAACGGTTATAACGATTCATAATAATTTTAAACTTCATTTACGTGGCGATCTTATTTAGACTGACACCATATTATTGCATTGAAAATGTAGTAGCGGAGCTCCGCTCCACAAAGCCGTCAATAGTGTTTCTCGTAAAGTTGTAACGGCATTGTTTTTGACGAGCGATCGAAAAGAATATTGAATCGAGGAGAAAGAGAAAAATAGAGACTGACAGTGAGGCGAGGGGAGTGCGTGGGCGACGAGGGAGTTAATTCACGAAAGCGCCGAGGCGAATTCAATTCGCGCGAGTTAGCGCGTGACGAAATCGCCGCTCGTCGCCTCGTTGCCGGCGACCTAGGTCATAACTATTTAAATGCCCGCGGCTGGATAAATTGTTGTATTAGTCACGCCAAGCTTATATTAATACACGCTCTCTCACTTCCCCCGCGCCGCCCGCGTCGTCCGGGTTCGTCGTTCGCCAGCCCGTTATTTCCCCTTCCGACCAAGTTCTACTTATGTTTCGCGATGTTCCGCGAAACGGGGAGACGGAGCGTGGACATTTGCTTCCACAACATTAATTTTAAATATTTCGTACGGTCATTTTTCAAATTGCCAACATAGTTTTCTCCGCGTTACACAAAACAAAGTCCAAAAAAACCGCGCTGTTACGAAACAAACGACATGTATTAACTGTGACACACTAACGCGATATAAATCTAACAATTTTATGCGTACACACAACTCGCTTGTTGAAATTTAAATTCAACGATTTATTTAAATTAACAAATTTAAATAAATTGAATGTCAGAGGAGAGACGTTCCGATCCTTCCCTCGCGCTACGTTTATTATTACTTCTGAGTTAGATTGCAAGAGGCGCGTGACAGATTCAAAGGGAAATTCGCTTCGCTTCGGCACAATGTGGCAATCGGTCCAATCGAGAAACAGCGGTGCGTTTTCACTTCTCTGGACCGACTTGTCTTGCGTCGTCGCGAACGAGAAAGACGAAAGAGAAAGAGAGCGAAAGAGAGAGAGAGAGAGAGAGAGAGAAAACGAGAGAGAAGAGGAAGAAGGACAGAAAGAGAGAAAGGCAAAGCGCAACAGTCATCGGTGGTTATTTAGGCGATTGCACTCGCGAGCGACGTGCGCGTCGCGCACGTTTGATCGCATCGTCGTCGCGACAAATCGACATTGTGTCACTGCGCCTCGTTGCAGCAATAACGCATATAATATACGCGCGCGAGCGATGCATACGGCGAGAGAGCCCGCGCGCGAACGCAAGCGAGTGTCGGCATTACAGACCGCTGATGTAATACTTTTATGATCGGCCGCCGCAATTTCTCGGTGACAACACTCGCTATTTCTGTCGCCGAGTTTGTGCACATGACTGCCGCGACGAGCAATATATCGTGCAAATACGCGCGACGCTCACGCCAGTATTTATACAGGGTGTTCGTCACTCCTTTCAAATTGCGATAATAAATAGCGACGAATTAGATTTTTGGTAAAATGAGTTTTTGCTACGACTTCACAATAAAGTATGACTTTGAGTAATGAAGATTTTTATCTTCACGATAAGAGAGAGCGATAACGTTGCGCGATAACATAATTGGTTTATACTTCGCTCATAAAAAAATGAAACGGCTTATATAAATTGTACTTCTCTTCTCAAACATATATAGAGCAAAGAGAAATTACAAGAGAATTTTGCGTCTTCGGCACAAAAATACCCATCATTATAATTTACTTCACTAACGTGCGCTCTTTTATCAGATTGTAATCACTTTTTTAAATTTTAATTCTATCTTTCTGCCAATCTGATAAAAAAAAAAACAAAAAAATACACGCACGCTTTTTTTCTTTCTTATCTTTAAGATATTTAATGTACGTAATTAATTTATATCGGAGAAGCGCGCGGGTATATGATAATTTCTCGCAAAGTTTTCACGAAAGATAAACCGAGCAAATTCCCCAGAATACAATCGCCTGACAAGGAAGAATGTATCCCCGAGACACCCTGTACAATGTATCGAGCGCGTTCTTTTTTTTTTTTCTCCCTCTGTCGGCATTGTTCGTCCGTGTAACGCGAGTCGTTTCTCGCTTTCAAAACGGAGCTTCCTTAAGCGGAGGAGAAAATCGAAGCCGGCGATGAGGGGATACACCAGCGGTCGCTCGTTACGTAGGTGGAATCAAGGCGAAACTTTCCGCATGAAATTGCAACGTGCGCCCGGCCGTGTAATGCCCGAGTGGTACAACTCACCTGTACGTTACATGTCTTCGTACGCTGTCGATATCGTTCGCAGTAGAGGCTGCGCTTTTTCCATGCGAGGTGCATTGCTCTCGTCGAAGTCCATCTGCGCGTCCCCGCTTTGCCCCGGTCCTCCTCCGTCCTGTCGTCAAACAGAGGGAAAAAAGGATACGATTGAGAAAAGTGAGGGACGAGAAACTACGCGCCGCGGATTAAGTCCGAAGACAAAATAAATTAAAAAACGAACAATAATGAAAATTTAAAAAATAATCACATTTTCAAAGACAATTTCAAAATAAAAAATTATCTGATTTTACAGTTGCGCCGTATATACATACGTATGTTACTTTTGTTTTCGTATATAACTGCGAATTATCGGAAAAAAATTTATCTCCTCTAATTGTAAGATGTCAGACTATAGAGAGTGTTCTATTCGGAATATAAACTGCGAATTGTGTAATGCTTAAATTTATTACATGTCTATTAATCAGCAGAAAATAATAATGTACATAATGACACGGTGTTTGCAGTTAAAAGGTTAAAGAGCGGATTCCCCCCGGAGTGAATGTAAGTCACCCTTCGCGTTCCCTTAGACACGTTAATCTGCAGAAATATGTAGCTGCGGTGGCGAAGATAGCACGGGTGGCAAAGTAAAAGAATGATTTATCGGTCGGCTGACTTTTCCCACCCGACTTTTTCCGCTCAGCCAAAGGGCGACTCGTGTCTTTTGCTTCCACACGCGAACCGCCAATGGTGGTATTATCACAAGCCTAACATTTTCACGACACAAGTCTAACATCGGAGAAAAAGAAAGAGAAAAAGAAAAAAAAAAGAAAGAGTGAGAGAGGGGGGGAGGGGAGAGAGAAAGTTTTATGTGCATATTTCTAAGTTTTTACTTTTTGAAACTTGGAAAAATTACAAGACTCGCAATATGGCCGCCAGCAGAGAACTCAACTCCGTTTATGCTGTTTTTGCAACTCTCTCATTCGACAGAGCTTTTCTTGTGGAATCCTAAAAGAGAGATGTACAAGAATAGTTCAGTCAAATAAAATAGTTGCCGAAGCAACGGTTGCCTTCTGTTGAACGCGGCCATTGATATTTACTGATGCATGCGAATGATTGGATATGTCCTGCCAAAAAAAAAAAAGAAGGAAACGAAGTAAAGGAAGGGTTGAAAAGAAGAAAGAGGAGAAGGCGAGTGGCGGGCAACGGTTACAGCAGAATAAACCCTTCAATAATGAGTTCCGTGAGTGAATTCCCTCAATGTGCAGAGAGAGGCTCGAGATAATAAAACAGAGCGAGACGCCGGCGGTGGTCGAGGAAGGAGAGAGAGAGAGAGAGAGAGAGAGAGGGGGGGGATGAAAGGGGATCACAGGAGGGCGGCGAGTGGGCGTTGGAGGGAGGAGGTTTCTGCACTGGCAAGAGTAATAGTAAGAGGCAATAAAATATAATGAAATAACATCCAATCCAGGAGAGATATTGTGAAAATATTATTACTAACTTATTACTCGTTGGGCACGGCGTACCACGCTCTCGACCTTTTTCTCCATTTTTCTCTGCTTTTCCCTCCCTCCCCCACCCCTTTCTCCACAGTCTCTGTTCCCCGCTCTCCCTCCCCCGCTCTCTATAAACGTATACAGGGTGCACCTGGAGAAAAGACGAGAATCGATAGTATTATTTGCGAAGAATCTTTTCTTGGCAAAAATTTCTCGGTGCAGTTTTTCAATTTCACTTCCGATGTTAAATATCTCGAAAATTAATGAGATACTAAATCTCTTTTGCGAGGAAAAGTTTACTGGAAATTAACTGTAAAAAAAAAAGAACGCTTCTCATGTATTTACTTTCCTTTCGTAAATTTAATACGAATAAAAAACATTACAAGTTTCACCGATGAATGATATAATATGCAAAGAGCATATATTAGCATTTTACATATCTATAATTAAAGTGTATCTGAAATATCAAATAAAGCAACATGAGAGAATCCGGAAATTAAAGAAATACCGATAAAGAGAAATAAATCATAAGAAATGTAATAACACAGAAGCAATAAATTTCCCATAAAATCTATACATCTGTATGTTAATAAAAAATATATCACATTATGGATTGTTTTGTTTCGAAAACATTCTTTTTTTTTTTTTTTTTTTTTTAAGAGGACACGCAGTGTGTCCGATTTATTTTTGGTAAAAATTTCTGCGCTCTTTCTAAAAAGAACACCTTGTATAAATCTTTTGTCCCATTTTTTTCATCTTACTTTTTCTCCGTCCGGTCCGCGCGAGATCGCCGAAGACGCGATAAAATTTTTCTACTTCCATAACCCTTATCGAACACCAATAAAAATCGATGCGCTACCAGCAGTCCAGACGTAACGATGGTGTCCTCGGTTTGTTTCGAGAGACACACGAAGGATCGTCCTCGCGAAAAAACGCGAACGGCGGCGTCGCCGAGTCGCAGACGACGCAACGCAGATTTCCGCGGCTCGTTATTTTAAATTAGCGAGCGCACTCCGTACTTTAAATTATATCAGGGCTGGATCTAGAAAATTCTCGAGAGGTCGGCCGCCCGACGTTAAAAATTAAATTTCCCAAGGAAAGCGAGTTTTTCATTATATAATCATCTTATAATAATAATAATAATAATTTATCCCTTACATATTTTCACGTGAGAAAAATGACGAGCTCTCTCAGTTTTAGAGAGAGAAAACAAAATTTAGAAACGCGCCTCTCATTATGCTTTCAAAAAATGAATCGCAAACCACCGTCTCGTCTTCGGACTCGGTGACGCACGTTGTAGCGAACGAGAAGCGCAAATGCTGCTGCATCGTGCGCTGTCCCGCGCGCTGCAAACGCGCTGCAAACGCGCTGCGCCTACTGCCGACTAGCGTAATCGGCCCCAGCATCGCCGTCGAAATTATTCCCTTTTAGTGTTGTTAGCCGGTACGCTCGCGATTCGCGATCGATCCTCGGTCGGTCGGTTCGTCCGGCTCTCCCGCATTTGAAATGCAAAGTGCGCGGCCGAGCATTATCTTCCAGGAAAGACCGGCGGACGAACAGAAAAAAAAAAAGAGAGAGAAACGCAAAAAAAAAAGGCAGAAAGAAAAGATTATCGCGGGAGCGAGATATCCGGGGGAAGATCGCGCGCGCGGTGACGAAAGATGGTTATATAAACGCGGCGCGGAGAAGGAAGGAGAGGAGAACGGGGGAAAAGGTGGCGGCATGCAACAATCCTATCTGACCGTGTAAATCTCCGGGCGTCGTAACGAAGCGGCAAATCGAAACTAAACGGTCGCCCATGAATGGGAAATTAGAAAATAACGTTACGCCGGCGAGAGGCCGCGCGCGCTTCCGGCTGGGACACCCTGTGTGTACACACGTAGAACGCTGAGCCGGTGTGCATACGTGCGTGCGAGTCGTCTCACGCATCCCGAGCTGCCGTAATGCGCATTATTATCTCGTAAGCGAAATCTGGTTACGAAGTCCTTTTATTAAGGATTTAATTGATCGACGACGCTTAAAACGCGCTCGGTCGCCGTCTCTGTCCGTGCTGTTTCCCGTTTCTCCTCCCCTCTTCATTCCGCTGAATAAACTTTCTCACTCTCTCTCTCTCTCTCTCGCTCGCTTGCTCTCTCTCTTTCCCGTGTGCTTTCTCTTCTTCTTTATAACAAAATTCATTCCCTTCCTCCTGTTTAGTTTTTTTTTGTTTTTTTTTTGTTTTTTTTTGCGCGCGATCGTTACTTGCGTTCATTCGTTTTCCGCATCTTAATTGCATATCGTCGCCAAATTGGATTCGGTGTCTTTCTATATTTGCATTTCTGTTATTTTCAAATTTTCCGGTCCGTCATTTTACACCACTTACGCGTGTATTCCCCGAGTATATTGTTCTCGTGGGTTCCCATCCGGAACATAATAAACCGCCTGCCCTATCTGTCTATCTATCTANCTATCCGTCTCTCTTCCGCTCCGCTGACTTTTTTTACCTGGGCTCGCTCTAAAGAGTTTAGCAATGTAATCAGAATATTTTTACACCCGCCCTATGTGTGAATTACAACGTGAATAACAACGTGCCGCGCGCGCGCGCGCGCGCGTGTGTTTCGGACGAATTTTATTCCCGGCCCCCCAAGATATTTTTCTGAACCTGCAGATATCAGATGCGTACGGCGGCAGCGGCAGCGGCGGCGGCGGCGGCGGCGGATCGAACGCCGCCGGGCAAAACGATGGGAATTCTTCGAACAACAATGTAGTTACGGCGGAACATATTTTATATCGCTTTAGCGCGCGCGCGACATTCATTTTTACTCCTTCCCTTCCTTCAAAGTAGTAACGAAAATTCACCGTCTTATTTCTCGGTTTTATTTCTCTTACGTTTATTTATCTGTTTTAATTACTACGCGCGAATATTTCCGCTGTTTATTGTTCTCGAGGCTCTTTAATCTAGCGGATACCGAGAGAGCTGCATCGAAATCTGCATGAATTCGCTGAAAATACCGGGCGAAATTTCGCCGTGAGTTTCCGTTCCTATGCGCTCCGCGCCGGATAGCTATTACTTACGCCCGTCTATATTCCGGGTAATTTGCGAGAGTAGAACGATTTGTCGAGACAACGTCGCTTATATAAATAATACGTCGTTATGCGAAACACACACACGCACACACGCGCACACACACACACACACATACGCACACGGCGCACGGAGGGGCTTTCTCGTCCGTGTCGCCGTGTTCACTTGTGTCTTTGCTGCGCGCGTTATATAAACGTATCTTGCGCACGGCCGTGCGTGGACGACCGCGCGCGCACACACGTGTGTGTGCATCCGCGCTCGGCGCATATACGTCAGAAATAAGCAGTGCACGACGATTGCACCGTTGTCGCTCGTAAGTAATGCAAGTAAGAATAATGCGTTTATTCGCCAGATTAAAGATCGTTTTGTATGCGCGTCTCGAGACTGGAATATTTTAATGGTTTCCTTGATGAATTCGAAATCGACATAGCGCATGTACCCGCTCACACGCACGCACACACACACACACACACATACATACACGCTCACGCGATCACCAACGCTTTGTGTTAATTCGAATATTTTCGTAAAGTATACGCAAGGAAACGAAATTCACATAGCGCATCGTATAATGACGAGACC